CCTGCTTCCGAGGGGGGGGGGGCCCTGGAGCCCTCACTGACCTGCCCCCCCACCCCCCCACCCCGGGCCTCCTCGCCTGAACCAGGAGATACTGATGTCTGGGGCTGGGGTGGGGGGCGGGGTCAACACCGGGACTCCGCGGAAGCGCATGCATGCGGCAGGTGGCCGTGCTGGACGTGGGACACGTGTGGCAAGGCTCTTGTGCCCTCACCTTCCCTTTCGCCTGAACTGTGTCATCTCACACTGGGACACTCTAAGCGAAAGGAACCGGTGTTTAAACCACGAAGGGCGCGAAACGCACAGATTCCCAGTGGAGTCGGGTCTCCTGGCACGGTGAGGGGGGCGGGGCCTGGGGACCCTCGTGGGCAGCAGCCCCGCCTGCCCCCCCGCCCAGTGGATGCACAGGTCATGGAACCCCTGCCTTAGCTGCACATGAGGGGGCCTCTGTAGTTCTGGCTTCTCCCCTGGAGTCCCAGGGCATTGGGTCCTGCTCAGAAGGGGCTCAGTGCTTGGGGCTGGGAGAGGCCGGGCCACGGCCTGGCGAGGGCGGGGGTCTCAGTTGGTGGGAGATGGCGGGACCGTGCTGTCTCTCTTGAGGCGGCTGCTGCTGCCGTAGCCACCGACCTGTGTGCTGGCGTCGGGAGGTGCTGAGCCCCTGTGTCGCGCCGGCCCTGCCGTGGGCAGGCAGTTCGCGCAGCTGTGGGGCCGCCTGCCTTGTCAAGGCCGGGAGCCGGGCCAGCGGGTCTCAGAGGGGCTGGGCCCTGCCGGCTGGGGGTCGTGGCCCTGGAAGCTGCCAAGGTGACGGCACGGGCTCGCCCGCGCGGGGCAGAGGGGAAGGGTCTCCCGCGCTCCAGCGGCGGGTGCTCGGGGCCTGCCCCTCCGGCCCCCGTGGTGAGCTGTGTGTGCCCGCCGTGGTCCCCGGACTCCTGCTTGCCGCAGGCAGGCAGTGCTGACAGGTTCCTTCCGTGGCGTGCGTGTGCACGGGTTCACCTTTCTGGCAGCGGACCTGCTGTTGGAACCCATTGCGCTGGACACGAGAGACTGAGGGCCTGTCCCCTGCTGACGGCTCTTGAAACCCCGGGTAATGCGCGAATGGACTGGAGCACAGCCCACTCGGGGACTCTCCCGGGTTTCTCCCTTGGACCAGTTCCTGCCCGCTGGGACCAGTTCCACCTCCTCCCCGAGCGTGCCCCCGTCTCCATCAAGACCTCCATCAAGACTCGTTCCTGCACACGCGCTCACCCACCGCTCCTCCACGGCAAGCAGCCCCTGGAGCTGTGGGGGCTGGTTCCCAGCCACTTCCCAGGAAGCACGGTCCCCGGAGGGATGGCAGAGGCCGCGCCCGCCCGGGGGTCCCGCCGGGGGTCCGCCCATCTGGGACCCCAGAGCAGCAGAACCCAGCGCCCGCTGCCGGACCGTGGTGCTGCTCTGTTTGCTGCCGTGGCGGCAGCTGGGACGCACCTGTGGCAAGAACACCACCCCTGCGACCGGCGGGGCTGGGTCATGACGACTCGTGCCCTTAGCGTCTCCTCATCGCGAGCCTGCCTGCGGAGGCCGCGGGGCTGGGTGGCGATGCTGTGGCCCCGGGGGCCTGGGGAGCTGTGTTCCGGGCTCCAGCAAGGGGGCAGGGGTGGTCATGTCTCTGTGGTGGGCCGGCCCCCCCACCTGTGGCACGGGTCCTGACTGTCTGTCGGCACCCGGCGGGCTCAGCAGAACCACTAGAGGTGGGCTCGGCCTGGGTCGACGTGCCGCGCCCTGGGAGCAGGAGGGGGCGTCACAGCCAGCGGCCTCCCGGCCAGAGACCCTGCAGTCAGCCCACCTTCCCCGGGGCTCCTGGCGAGAGACTGACAGGCACAACCCCCGTTCGGTGTGATCGGGGAGCCTGGCCCCCAGCACTCGCTGGACACGGCCCGCGGACGCGGCTGGCTGTCACAACGGGCAGGTGTGTGCCCGGCGGATTCCAGCGGCAGAGGTGGGGGTGCGGCTCAACCGCCTCAGGCACGGCCCCTCCCTCCCTCCCTCCCTCCCCCTGCTGTGGAACAGATGGGGGAGGGGCAGTGGGCTATGAGGCGGGAGGGGCGGGCAGAGACAGGGCTGTGCGTGACAGGTGGGCCCCAGGCCCAGGGGGCTTCGCGTGCACACTCACAGCTGCACGCTCACACACGTGCAGACCTGGTTGTGTAGCTACATGCATCTGGCGTCGGGTCACAGCAGACACGCAGCAGGACCCTGTCCCAGTGCCGCAGGGAGCGTGGCCACCGCGTTCTGCGACGCTGCTGCCCCTCAGGGAGCGGCCGGGGCTGCCCGGGGCTGAGGGGACACGTGCAGAGGGGGCTGTAGGCAATCTAAGTGGCCCCATAAAGCACAAGCCTCGCTGCCTCACCCCACCCTCCCAGGAGCCACGGGGAGCCGCCTCGCTCACCCCCGGGCGAGTCCCGGGTACCCCCGCTCCTGGTCGTTCCTGGGGTGCGGCTGAGACGTGGCTCTGAGACGTGGCTCTGAGACGTGGCTCTGAGACGTGGCTCTGTGACGCGTGCCGTCCTGCCAGCCTCCCCCACCCGCGTCCCGCAGCCCCTCGTCCTCCCGGTTAACTTAACCTACCAGTGGGTTGGCTACACCTGCGGGTGTTCTGTGTGCAAGCCGTCCTCCTGTTTCTGGGGCCGTCCAGCGTGGTTGGGGTGCGTCCTCCCCGGAGCACGCGGCCCACGTGGGCCGGCTCGTGTCCTGTCGCGTGGCTGTGTCCGTCCACGCCGGTGAGTGGGGACTCGGCTCTTCCTGGCTTGTCGTGTCTTAGTTTTGGCATCGGAGTGGCACGGGCCTCGGGGAGGGACCGTTCGTTCTTTGCTCCTGCAGGACAACCCGTTCCTGGAGAGTTTATAGGACTCAGGTGTGAACCCTCTCGGCTCTGCTCTCTTTGGGGAAAACTCCTTAACATTTAAAGCATCTATAGCCTTATAGTTAAAGTGGATTTCTTATAGATAGTGTAAATTTGGGTCTTTTAAACTCTTTTGTTTTGGGACACCTGGGGGGCTCAGTCGGTTGAGCATCCGACTTCGGCTCAGGTCATGATCTCGTGGTTCGTGGGTTCAAGCCCCGTGTCAGGCTCTGTGCTGACAGCTCAGAGCCTGGAGCCTGCTTCCGATTCTGTGTCTCCCTCTCTCTCTGACCCTCCCCTGCTCACGCTCTGTCTCTCTCTCTCTCTCTCTCGAAAATAAACATTAAAAACTACTAAAAATCTTTCATTTTTTTCTTTGAATTTTTAAGATGTATTTTTTAAGTAAAATCCATACCCAACGTGGGTGTCGAACTCACAGCCCTG